ACACACACACACACACACACACACACACACACACACACACACACACATACACACACACACACACACTCTCTTTATCGTTTGACCTCTCACCTTCTCTTACTCTCACTCTCGCACGCTCTATCGTTCTCTCCCCCTTCTCTCTCTCTTACTCTTTCTCTCTCACCCTCTCTTTCTACCCCCTTCTCTTCTTCTCCTTGTATAGATGTAGTGATGCACACCTTTCTCTGACTGATGTTCTTATCCGTGAATATTGCGTGAACTCTCCACGTCTTCGAAAATAGAGCGCCGAAAGCTAGGGAGAAGCCTGCGGTCAGCAAGAAGTTTCTAACCTGTAAGCACAGTGCACCCAATCTACTCATGAACATGAGCTGAATAACTACATATGAGACTCGACGCAAGTGTTTTTTACAGCATATATAACCGTATGTATCATATTATAATTTATGCGTATAATGTGTATTAATAAAGCATGACGACGACGACGATGATGATGATGATAATGACGATGACGACGATGATTATGATAATGGTGATGATGATGGCTACTTTATTTACACGTGTGAATCACGACGTCGTTAATTGATGCATCAACCTACGACCGCAGGATTTATCCCAATTGCGCATGTGCTAAGCAGCGGTTATATGCGGGCCACACTACTTCTCTATAGCGAAAATTAAATATTTACGCTTTGAATCCAATTAAAGCCTGTAGCATCGACAGTACGCAGTTAAAAGTAAAGTGTAAAAAAACAAACTTCTTGATGTCATTTGTATGATTACGAAAGTTGTACTTGCAGTGCAGAACGCTACGACCGGGTACCGCTCGTTCGTCCCTTCAAAGAACACGTAGAGGTAGTTAAGAAGGCAGCCACATAAAATTATGTTGTTCAGTTTCGGCGAGGACATCTTGATCAGCCTGGAAGAATATAATTCGCGTGAATTAAAAAAAACATATAACAGCATTAACAGATTTTTTTTTTTATACAAATATATATATCTTTTGTTATATAAATATATTTTTCGCGCATTATCTTAATTATAATATGAATGAACAACGAATACGATGAAAACCTGTTTGAGAAAAAAATTAAAACTTAAAGCGTTTCAATTGTTACATCTTTGCCGGAAACAAAAAAGTTTCAGACGTTGAGAGATATGATATGACTATATAGCTGATTTAATACACGTATCATACCGCTGTAGGAGAGAGCGCTATATATAACTAAAATAGACATGCCAATCTCTCAGTTTCCTGATTCGCGACGTGGATGCTGTGTGCCTAAAGCTTATAAAACATCTTCTTCTTTCTTCTTCTAATTCTAATTACGCACACACACACAACACACACACACACACACACACACACACACACACACACACACACGCACACACAAACACACACACACACACACACACACACACACACACATAAATATAGAGAGATTTTCTAGAGTAGATATAATTCTACTTTAATACGAGAACGCGTTTTCGTAATTCCGCATGCACAAATACCTGGCTTCCCTATTCGCGATATTGAATACGAGGAATCCGATGGTAGAGAGTATGCCAAGCAGCGAGAAAAAGCATGCGATGAGGTAGAGATAGCGCGGCACGTAGAATTTTTCCGCAAACAGATGTGGACCATCGACCGGTGGCTTGTTCCATTTAGCTTCGCAAGGAGATATGGAGAATTTGGGAGAAAGACTATATTAGAATAGAAGATCATATAAAAATTAAAAAAGACGACAAAAATAGAATAGAATAGAATAGAACAGAATGGAATAGAATAGCAGAGAATAGAATAGAATAGAATAAAATATAATATAATATAATAGAATAGAATAGAATAGAATAGAATGGAATAGAATAGAATAGAATAGAATAGAATAGAATAGAATAGAATAGAATAGAATAGAATAGAATAGAATAGAATAGATTAGAATAGAATAGAATAGAATAGAATAGAATAGAATAGAATAGAATAGAACAGAATAGAATTGAATAGAATAGAATTAAATAGAAAACGTAAGCAATAGAATAGCAGAGAAAAAAACAGAAAATGCGCTAACACATGTAGATGAAACATTGGCATAAGTTCAGTGGCAGTGTACCATAGTAATTTCTCAATGTGTTTAATGCAGCATATTGTCGGCAGTAAGCCGTATGACGAATCTTGTTTATTTACTGCTCGCTCTATAATCGTAACATTAGTGACTATAAGGACCACCCTAAATAGTTGACACGCTTTCACGCCACAGATCTCCTCAGCAGACTTACTATTGAAGTAGAACGGATGCGTTAGGCTGTCGTCGGTGAATGGAGCATCGGGGTGCAGTGTCGCTATCGTAACCTCATTCTCACCTACACACACACGCACACACACACACCACACACACACACACACACACACACACACACACACACACACACACACACACACACACACACACACACACACACAGAGAGAACAACGACAAATCTAAATCCATCGCGGTAGAACGATGAAACATAAATGAAAAATCATGGGTAGTATCCAGCGAAAGCCGTTCAACTGCTTGCCGTCACCATAGCCAGCCATCAACACGGGATGGGGACGGGGAGAAAAGGCCCGTTCTCTACAAATTGCCATTAGCGGACTGCAAATGTATGTTGTACTTAAATTAAGGAGATACAATCGTGCTCGATTGGCCAGAAAAATTTAATCACCGCGTCACAATCAAACCCGCGGAACATATTGTATGGCTGCCTCGATTGAGTGCTCTTTGCGATGCGGTTGGGGGCGCTTTGGGAAAATCTCATTGTAAAAAGTAGAGCCCGAATGTTCGTCATCTGCCAAACTATAATATTAGCGCCATCTGCGGATCACATCGGAACACGATAATTGATCTTGGCCGTCTCGAGATTCTCGCTTTCCATCTTGTTACGTTCGCCCGAGTGGTCGAAAGATGTTGAGCGTGTCCACGGTACTAGTATCTAGACCATCTCTCCTCGTGTTTTGTCATTCACGGGAGCCGCGATATTTAAACGCTGATATGCATTCAATTGCGGAAGCACGTCACAACTGGTGCATAATATTATAATACAATAAATCTATTATATTGAGAGTTAAAAATAAACTTGAAAAAATAATGCGAGGATTATGTACGTGGACTGTGAGTAATCCGCAGCACCGCAACTACGGTTTCTTGTAATAAATTATTGTAAGCTAGTCGTAATGTGGTGCGTTGCGTGTCTTGATTTTTTTGCCGAGTGTAGCGAAAGGTGAGTAATGTATTTTTAATGAAATTAGCCATCGTCACGATAACAAGCCTTAGCATCAGCACGTGTGACATCTTCGCATCGCATCAGAGCTAGGCCAGCCAATCCCCGATCACATTGGCAAGCGATGTAAATGCTGGATGTCCGGATTCTCGAAGAAGCAAAAAAAACATTGCTAGCTGAATGCGTGTTTCTCGCTGAACAAGCATGCAGTTTAAAATTCGTTGTGAAGCGTGTTTATCGCCTGAGCGTAACGTTGAGGCCGTACATGTGTGTGTGTGTGTGTGTGCAGCCAAAACGATGTGTGGTGTCGTGTGTGGGTGTGAGGATATTAATGGTCGAAGAGAAAGAAACGAGGACATTCCGATGTGTGGTGTGTATGTGTGGGTGTGTTGTGGTGGTGCGCTGTGTGTTTGGTGATGTGTGTAGTGTGGCCTATGAAGATGTGTGTGTGTGTGCTGGCCTTCGTGTGTAGGTGTGCGAGAGAGTGAGACGAGGAAAGGACTGAGATGTGTGTGTCGTCGTGTGTGGAGCCTGTGTTGTGTGTGGAGAGAGAGAGTCTGCGATTGGGTGTGTAGCGTGTGGTGTGCTGTGCGTGGCCTGCTCACCGTAGTTGGCGCCACTCTTTATGTCGGCAAATTGCCGTGCCGTATTCGTCGAACTTGACCTGCCCCTTGACCCGGAGGAAGGTTCGAGTCGTCGCCATGTTGGCCATCACTCACGTCCGGTGTAGTTGACGGGAATCGTAGTATAAGCATGACTCATTT